TCATTGCACATGCTTTGGTTAGATAAAGAGGTATGTATGTGAATATATTACATCCACTTCTTATGCTATAAATAGAGAATATTTGATCAAAACAGTTGTTCAATTTTAACTCTTTTAGGGACAACTTATGGAAGCAAATGTGCGAGATGAAGATGCTGGTCATGTATGCACAAACATGAAAATAGGTCGTCTCTACACCATACTGAGCCCAACTGTCATACCAGCTAAAACAGAACGCCGCACTGCACCTTCAAATTTGAGATTATATTTCACAGCAGGAGCTTCGTTCAAAAGTATGCAAGAATATCGCAGCACAATGCATTTTCCAGATGATTCTTTCCTTCAGGTGCCTTTCACTGATAGTGTTTCATCTACAAGTGTTCCAGTCTGCTACTCAGGTGCACATTTTTATACTTCACCCCCTAATATCAGGACACAGATTCATATGCAAAGGAATTTGTATTCCAAGAATCAGATGATATGAAAATGTCAAACCAAAGACCTAAAACATTTCCTTATTTCAGATATCATGGGATGTGTGACACATATCACAAAACCAATCAAAGTTAATTTCGATACATCCATGTTCCAGATTCATCTCGAAGACATTAGGTATTACTTATATTTAGTTGTTGTTATATCATGGTTGATCAAGTTTCGGCTTTATTACCATTTATAATCCATTTCCCATCTCTTTTAGTGGAAACAAAGGACTTGTGAGCTATATTGGGAAAGGAATTCAGGAATTCATTCACAGTGCCGATTACAGAGAGGTTCATTATCCTCTGATTGTGACAGCAACAGCAGTTACCCGAAATGTCCATAACTTTACACATATTCCGCCATTCTGCTTTGTCACGTCTCCTGGAACTCGTCTCATTGTCCATCCGTATAATGAAATGACAGAGAAGCTGATGCACAAGTACAATGCTGCACTTATATGTTTTTAATGCAGTTGTTATTTGCTTTACTCTCCCATTTTCGAATCTAATTAACAAAACTGTGTAGGTTCTTTCATGATAGACTGCCCGTGGATATAATTGACTACAGCTCAAAAGAGCGTCTTGGATACCTTCGTCGGCAAATTCCTCCAAGAATCTCATTGTTAGAATTAAAGAACAAGATGCCTTTAGGAGAACAAGAAACCGAGGTAGATGTGATTATCCACTGCACACTACTTTACTTTTTTAAAATGATATTATTGTTCCCTTACAAATAGATTCCCAAGTGTTTTCTAATAGTGGTATTGTTCTCAAATACACCCTGATTTCCAATTTGTATCTGTTTGGTAAATCAAACTATGTGACAGATACTTTATCGATGCAAATTGAAGATAGCGAAGTTTTATCTTGGTTCTGAAACCTCCAGAACTTCGCCTGAAGACACTGAGTATTTCCGACCACCTTTGCTTTTCTATTTCCTATTATGAATTTGACAATAAACTCTTTACATCCAACTAATATGCCTATTCTTCAGATTGTATTATAAGCTGGAAGCTGAGTGTGAATCAGGGAATGAGAGAGCAAAAATCATTATAAATCCTGCAGCTACCCTTGCTCTGATTCGTATGCCGCCACTGGAGTTCCAGACAATGTCATATGATCAAAGAATTCAGTTGCTCAAAGAAGTCTGCGACATCAAGTTCATGGCAGAACTCTACATTGTTGGAGCAGAATTTTCAGATGAACCACAAATTCACATGTATGCAATTTGGAATGCCAAAGCATTTCACCCATTGATGGATATGAAGCTGAATTTATAAACAATGATCCCGGTTTCCAATGGAAGAAGGTTTATGCCCTTTCTTTTTCGTTTATATCTCAACTGCAGAATAACATTGCACCTTCTTGGTACTGGCAAGTTTTTTTTATTTAATAATAATCATCTTCCTTTCCTTTGATTATTTCAGGTAGTAGGGCGCATGATTGAATCAGGTGGTTCAGTAAGGAAGAACGAAGGGAACACGGCCTAACAGCAGGAATTCTATTATTATTTTGTGCATTCCTACTTTTGAGTAGCAGTAAAAACAATTACCACCTCTGGACCAATTTAGTTTTGGACATGAACTACGTTAGTGTGCCATGTGTTCCCATGTTATGCTTATGAAGATCTATTAGCTATATTTTGATTTAGAAGGACAAAAAAATCGGTTACTTCGTGAACGTTTATGTATTTCTGTAAGTCACCAACAAGTCCTTCAATGACCGTATTTGTCCTAATTTTAGCTTCATGATATATTATATTTGTTCGAATGTTCGCAAAATTATCGCCAATTACCCTGCCTGCTCCCACATTTTTCCACATCTAATCTTCAAGCTCCTTATTCTTCAAATATCAATCGGCATTATTAGGTGTTTTGTCTGAGCTCTTGATGTTCTCTAATCTGATATCTGTGCAGATAGTTAAGAGCAGCGTTATTCTATATATTCGCTTTTATCCACAATTGCATACATCACGGAAATTGTTTTGTCCACCGACGCCAGTGACAGGTGGTCATTAAGTGCCGTTTTGGTCAACGGAAAAAAAACACATAAAAGATACACCTAACCCCTTACAGCTGGACCCTTATCCCAGCATTTATGCCTGCTATTATCCCGAGTTCTTTCCTTCACGCCCCTTTTATTTAGCTCACCTAAAGAAAAAAACTACTGCAGTTCCACCTTTCTTCTTCTATCTCTCGCTTTAATCTCCTTCCTATACTCATCACAAAAGGCCGATGTGTACTCATAAACTACTTCACGATCTTAATGGAACCGAAGATCTTGAAACTGTACTGAAACTACGCCTCCTACATGTTTGGGGTTCTTATGACCAAGAAGATCTAACGATACTCGGTTCCTATTGTACTCTCTGGACCGATGCGAAGGTAATATGGCAGTTGCTTTCAATTTCCCAATACCCATTATGCTGCTCGATCGTCTCTATTGCATTCCCTGCTGCCTCCTTTCACAGGGAACCCTAATTCAGGCCGTCGCCCCGCCCAATCTAGCTCATCATTTCGGCGGCATCCTGCAACTAGGGTGTGTCTATTTAATTACTGGATTCCAAATACAACAATCACAGCCGATGTACCGGCCTTGCTCCCATATATTGAATTTGGTTCTTTCTCAAAGAACCAGATTTGATAATATAACCACTCTCTCACCTGGTTTTCGTGCTGATTCATATGAGTTTGTCACCTTCAATTCCTTGCGCTCTCTGCCTCAATCAGCCGACCAGCTAATAGGTCGAACTGGCAAGCGCCTTTAATTTCCTCAACTGCGCTTCAATTTCGCCCCTACACTGACTCTTTAACTATGTTTCACAACCTCTGTTGATATAGATGTTGTTGGCGAAGTCGTGTCCATAAGTGGACTCTCATGTTCAGTAACGTCTGATGGTGCTATTGTTAGGCGCAAACTGGTTATACAAAACGAAAGGTTTCAATGCATTACAATTGTACACTTTCCATTTCCTTCTTTGTTTTATCTTCGTCTCCTTTTTCTTGGTCATGACTTTTCCTGTGTTGTTACAGACATGTGCGTCTCAACATCACCATCTGTGGCGATGTTGCGCGATCTCTCGATGGAGAAGAACTGGCATACCTTGGACGTTCTGGTTGTGTTATACTAGGAGTATGCAGTCTTCAGATTGGTGCTGCAACAGCAGGTTTATATTACAACTTGATCCCTAACAGTTCATTATTTCACTTATCTACTATATGATATGTTAACGTCTGCTTTCCACTGTTTATACAAGATCGCATGTTTTTGAAGAGCACCCCTATCACGCGCTTTGTGCTAGAACCGTCTTCTGATTTGGCAAATACTGTCCGTTCTGCGTAAGTTACTTATGATGTAAGTTCTCGACAATAAAGTTTCTCTTTACCTCATCGATTTTAAATTTTGTAGCTCTCTTGGTGGAAGAAATACAATTCAGTACTATCCTCCATGGTTCTCAACCTCCTTTGAAGAACAACTATTTCAAACAGACAGTACGAAGACAGTTATGGACTTGATCCACCTTTGCAACCCAGCAATGGTTGATGTACGTTATCTGACCACTACTCTTTATGTACCAACGCTGCATTTCTAAATCCTGGCGAACTAAAACATGAACTACTGATTTTAATATAGTTACACACATTTGTATGTGTTTTACTTTTGATGGCCATTTTGAAAGACCATTCGACTTTTACATTGAACAATTACCTTCTTGACATCCTCAACCTACGTGGTATACAAACTGACTTTGCTTACTGTTTTATTTACCTGCAGGCCACACACTACCGTTGCTTGGCACAGGTCCTCTCTGCTGAATCTTCGCGACCATGGTTTTACTTAGGATGTGCATTTTGTTTCAAGACAACCAGGGAATTTCCTGGTACTGTTGATTTTTGGTGTGATGAACATGGTCAATTAGTACCACAGGAAACCCAGAATTGGTTAGTTTGCCATCAAACACCTTCCTTTTGCAACTTGCATTTCTAGGATCAATTGACCCCATTTTTTATAAATCATTTTTGCAGTTACAAAATTCATTTGGCGGTTGGAGACAATACTGGTTCAGCATGCTTTATTATGCTTGGCAAGACCGCTGAGTATTTACTAGGAGTTACCGCTGACGAACTATCAACACGTTACCCTCAACAAGATCGGCAATTCCCTCCAGAAATTATTAACATGAATGGACGCTGGTTTTCGTTTGACGTTCAGCTCCCCAAACCTGGGTATTTACCTCAAACCCCTTTGGAGTTTACTGTCCTATCTGTAATCGGGCACAACCATCCTCAACATTAGCCCAGGCAAGCATCAACACGCCCACAGATCATCCAATAAAGAATGTCATCATAAGCACCAGCGAACTCTTTGCACTTACCTAATTTCAGCAGACATGTAGCGCACACGAAATCCTCACTTGCCACAATCACCCGCTGCCACTCTTTTAAACCGCATCAGTGTATACAAACATATGTAAATTATGCTTTCCCAGTCAATCAATCTGCCAACTAGCAACACATGCCGCTCCTTTGTATATCCAAACTTGGGGTACATTATTCAGTCAGTTTATGTACATACTTTTTAATTACGATACAACTTTTGTACATCTAAAAAACATCCCGATTCTATGTGCAACTTCCATTAAAAACTCGACATTTTTCTTATCTGATTCCCCCGGCGCGGAGCGCGGGTTTCCCTCCTAGTAATTCTATAAAGAAGACAACTGAGCCTAATAGGTGCTTACTCAACCAACAGACCACAAGAAAGTGGGTTGAAATTTGATAATGACAATTGACAACTGAAAAGAATAACACCTTTAAATCCACCACCACATGATGACAGTAGAATAATATTTAGAAACAAAGTGTCAGGTCCTCTCACCCATTAACACCGCTGCTTGCTCAGCCCCTTCTCCCACTAAGTAAAGCTTTCAGTGAAGAAGAGAAAACAGGTCACCGGAGAAGAAAGATGACCTGGGGTTACTATTTCCAAAGAGATGTGCTGCCGTTTCTGGCCATGGTCAGCTTAAACATCATCAGCGTTGGGATCAGCACGCTCTTCAAAGCTGCAACCATGGAGGGTATGAGCAACAATGTCTTCGTCGCCTATGACTATGCCATCGCTTCTCTTATTCTTATCCCAGCTCCTTTCCTCTCCAAAAGGTTCTCTCTTTCACCTTTCCCTATTGCTCTCTGATCGGAAAAGTCCAACTTGGTTTTCTAGGAAACTCAATATGCATCATATTTTGTTTGCAGATCAAGTGTTCTTCCTCCTTTGAGCTCCTCAATTATGTGCAAAATTGGTCTCCTCGGGCTCATAGGGTGGGTTAACTTATTTCCTCTGAAATCAACCTTTTAATGATCTCAATATCTTAGCTCTCCTGGGGTTCTGTTGAATTGATGGTTAGTTTCTTCACAGGAGTTCAGCTCAGATCATATTGTACACTGGAATCAACTACAGCTCTCCAACTCTTGCATCCGCCATTGGCAATCTCAGTCCAGCATTTACTTTCTTGTTTGCCGTCATTTGCAGGTACCATTTCTTTCTCAATCCTAGCTCCCGCTGCCGTGTTTGTGAGAAGCCATAATTTCAACTACTTGTCCATGAACTGAAAGAACTCTCTCTAATATCCCGCCTATGACAAGAAAAGGATGGAAAGAGTTGTGATCAGAAGATCATCCAGCCAGGCCAAAATCCTAGGCACAATAGTGGCAATAGCAGGTGCATTTGTGGTGACCTTCTATAAGGGTGCCCCGATTTTCCCGCTGGAACCCACGTCACCAATCCAATTGAATTATCAATCATCCCTTCTTCAGTCACCACCACCAACAGCACAAGAACATTGGGTACTTGGTGGGATGTGTCTCACCCTGAAGTATATACTTACCCCTTTGTGGTACATTGTACTGGTATGTAATGTATGCTTCCTTCCAAACCCATCTTTGTTAGATTGCTGTTCATTTCACCATGAAGTCTCAAATTGGTGGTGTTGTGTGGAACAGACCCAGATAATGAAGGAATACCCTGCAGAATTCACAGTGATCTTCTTCTACAACGTGATTGTCTGCATCATAACATCAGTTTTTGCTCTGATCACTGAAGGAACATCATCAAGTGCCTGGATATTCAGCAGTAGCACAGCAATAGCATCGGTTTTCTGCTCGGTAAGAGGCTTAACAATACTCATCATCAGATTGGCGGTATCAAGAGCATGCCTTTTTAAACCTTCGCATGTTCGATTAGGGAGTGCTTGGATCGTCAGTGAGCAATGGTGTGGAGGCATGGGTGTTGAAGCTCAAGGGGCCAGTATTTGTGTCGTCGTTCAAACCATTCGCGATGATTGTAGCTGTTGCCATGGGAGTAACGCTTCTGGGTGATATTCTGCATCTAGGAAGGTAAAACTAACTTCAGCTTCCATACAAATAGACGGAGAAAGTCCATAAAGTTAGTAACTTTAACCCTAACAAAATATCCCTTTTGTTTCCAATCTTCCAATTTTGGCAGCCTGATTGGAGCAATAACCATTGCAATTGGGTTCTACATGCTGATGTGGGGAAAGAGCAAAGAGGAAGATGATGACACCATCCCACAACAGAACAGTCACCATGTTAGTAGTACCCTCGAACCTCACTCCAACGAGAAGGTACCTTTGCTGCAAAAGCTGAACCAGTAGCGAATCACCATTCAAGGTGAAGTGAAAAACGGCAGCAGAAGCTGCTAATTTGGTCCGCATCCAAGAGTAAATGCAGGGTGGTATTTAACAGCTTAGTATGATCTGTAAATCTAGGCGCTGGGTGCTTGTTCCATGAAAGCCAGTTTGTAAAGAAGTAAAGCCAATAATTGAAATTTGGAAGGCCATAAAGTGGAACTCTTTCCTCTGTTCCAGAAGGGTGGAGGGAGAGAAAGAAGTACTGACCTGCCTGATAGAAGTGCGAAATGCTTTGCCGTTGCCGGAATAGTTCGTTTCGAACTGGAAGAAAGAAGGAATGCTCGAGGCAGAGGGTAGAGCTAGAGCCTTGCCGGCTCCTGATGCTGAATGGGCCGGGTGGTGCAAATCGTGGTCTGCATTTTTGGGCTTTGATATGTTCCCTTTTGGACATAGTTATATGGCCTGCTAGTTAGGCATGATCACTTATGGGCTATGGTCCATTATTATTTTCTTTGGGTTATGCAGTTTGTAGTTACCACTATTATGTACCATACCACTTGATATATGTGAAAACTGAAAAGATTAGTTACAAAATGCGCGTAGCTTCCCTGTTACGTTAATCATAAACCCATTAATTATGGATGTAGAAAGGACCGGTAGTTTGGGTATTGCACAAATATAATTTATTACGAGTCAAATTAGGTTTGGGTAATAATAACATTTTTGGATACATACCCACTTTTTTAGTTTGGTCTAAATTAAACCGATTACAACTCAAAAGAAAATGGATAACCAACTCTAATGCGATTTGTCCTTTTCTTTGTTCTAAAACAAACATAAATATGAAATTGCCACCATTGAAGCTATGAATTGGTTGAATGCGCGAATAGTGAGAGTGTCGATATTATTTTTTTGTGTGCATTATATAGATCCAAATAGATAGTCATTTGGATCCGACCTAAATGGGTTGATCCAAATTGGAGACAATTCATACCCAAACCATACCCAAAATTGTTTAGTGTGCATATGAGTGCATTTGGGTCAACACAATACCCATATGAGTCATATGATAATTTTGTCCAATTACCCAATGAATCATCCCTACCATTGATTAGGCGGGCAGCGCCAACAAAAAATAAAATGAAAATAATAAGCATTATAAAAAAACTTAAAAATGCAGTAACCACATGCCAAGTAGGCGCTATCCTACATGAAAACATACGAGTGAGTCACGAATTTAAACTATCATCCCACATTTCAACTTGTGTTATTCTTACAACTAAATTATCAAATATTTCAAGAGTTAACAAATTAAAATTAATCCTAATGAAATAATTATTTGCTTTAACCATAATTTGTCCAATCTAATAAATTCATATAGGTGAGGAATCATCATGGCCAAGATTGATGCTCGATCGTTTACTAAATACACCTAATATAATAACTCAACGAATTATGATGTAGCATCTGAGAAAAGACCACCATTAATAATCCAGTCCGCCACTCGACAACACAACAATACAAGAGAAGAGAAATCCTGGCAAGTCAAAGCCATCCACATCCATTATTAACACCTCTGCGTGCATTAATTGTGACTAAACACTCCCAGCAGCCTTTCAGTGAAGAAGAGGACACACCCTTCAAAGCTGCAACCAAGGAGGATATGAGCAACTCTGTTTTAGATTGGTATGTTGGACCAGGTCTCCCTTTGATTATAGATGGCTTGGTTTGTTGGGTCATGTCTCCTTTGATTACGATGTTAATAAGGTATATGATATATAATCGAATCTTATTCAACAACACAAGTTATAAAAATTTATTGTGTGTTTTGACATAGTATCAAGTTTTTTTTATTAATATGCCTTCTGCTCGAATCCCTGTGACCCCGTTGATAAATACATGGCGTCTCTGATGCTTTGTGTAAATTTCAAACTCACATGAGTGAATTTTTCGTTTGAGGGGGTGTTATATATTTAGTAGTCATTTGAGGTTGATCATTCATTGCACCATAGACGATGTTCCCGTTGATGTTTGGGGCGGTGTCATTAAGCAAGAAGCTTGCAGCTAGATCTTTCATTTGGTCCCTCCCTAGAGTAGCACTACTACTATCACCATCACTGAAACCCAGCAGCAATCAGTACCATTATTTTCATCATAAAGTCAGCGTAAGCTCCACAGAAACCATCAAACCCTCTTCCCCGACTCCCGCCAAACTCACCACATTCAAGCTCTCCTTCATAGACAACCTAGTCCCGCCAATTTACGTACCTTGGGGTCGGATACTATGCTAACCCCTAAAGGGGTAGTGGTTTTTGACACCCTCCTCTTGATTGGTCACTTTTCCATTTAAGCTTTTTACTTTATTTATTGTAATCTTGTAAATTGGGAAAGCCTTAATTGTGATAATAATTATGAATGGGGAAGGAGAAAAACGTTGGTAATTATGAATGGGGAAGGATCTGGGGAAAAACGAAATCACCCCCATTAATTACATAATTAATTTCTCTCACTGGTACATTAATTACACGTACCACTCCACTGGTACACGTACCACTCCACTGGTACATGTACCAGTGGAGTGGTACGTGTACCAGTGGAGTGGTACGTGTAACCATATGTCCTGTTTAGGCTTAAAAAATTGTGAAGACTTTATGTTTATTCACATTCGAAGGATAATTTATTGCTTTTGGCATTGTTGTTGGCATTTCCCTAATTTTGCAACCCATTTTGGAACACCGTTTTTGGCTACTAATGGAAAGTTCCTATTTTCCCCTATTATTGTTTATCATTGTTATGAAAAATATCATTGCACTGGTATTGTTCTCACTCTAACCTACCTTGTGGATTGCTCGCACCAGTGGAGTGGTACGTGTACCATTGGAGTGGTACGTGTACCAGTGGAGTGGTACGTGTACCAGTGGAGTGGTACGTGTACCAGTGGAGTGGTACGTGTACCAGTGGAGTGGTACGTGTAATTAATGTACCAGTGAGAGAAATTAATTATGTAATTAATGGGGGTGATTTCGTTTTTCCCCAGATTCTTTCTCTTTTCCAATGTGGTGAGAGACCCCAAATTACAAGATTAAAAAAAATAAAAAATCAGTTTAATTAATACTTGCCAATGATTGGAAATAAAATTGGCCAATCATAAAGGGGGTGTCAAAAATCACTACCCCTTTAGGGGTAGTCACGCTAACTGATCCCACGTACCTTTCATCTTCTTTTTCCCTGCTCCCGCCTCCACGGGACCAATAAAACCAGGGGAGAGAATGTTCGAGACCCTCAAGTCTTCACTCGCCCAGACCCTCACGCGCTTCTACCCACTCGCCGGCAGGTTGTCCAAATCCGGCGAAGATAACGAAGCCGGTGCGATTCCAGTCATCAACTGCAACGACGAGGGCGTGCCGTTTTCTTCCGCCACGGTCGACGGAGACATTAAAGATGTGTCCGTGGCTCAGTTTCTAAGGAGACGACTCGAAATCGAGTCGCTCCAGCAATTCCTCCCTTTCCCTGCCCATCTTATCATCTCGGGCCTCGAATCGGCGCCGCAGATCGCCTTCAGGGCTACCGCTTTCCCCTGCGGCGGGCTCGCCATCGGGGTCTGCTTGTTGCACAAGATCATTGATGGCCCCACTTTGGCCGATTTCATGAAACTCTGGTCCGCATTCGCCAGCAGCGAGGAGAAAACGGCGGGTGGGAGCGGGTACGCTCACAATCTCGCTGCCACGTCACTCCTGCCACCGCGACAAGACGATGTCCCCGCGGCCACAGAGGACGAAGAAGGGAAGGTGTTGATGAGGAGATTCGCGTTCGATGAAGAAGCGATCCACGCGCTGAAAGCCAAAGCGAAGAGCGATCAGATACCTGACCCGACCCGGACCGAGGCTGTTGGTGGATTTTTGTGGAAATCGGTGATGAGTGCAGCTGCCAGGGCAGCATCACCCGACGGGTCAAAGCCCAGATCCGTTGTCTCAGTTGCAGGTAATGCCAACATTTGCATTTCATCAAATGTCTAAATGATGCAAAAAGGTTAAAACATACTCACTTCTCTCCAACTCAAAAGTTATTGTAGTATTGATTGATTCATTTTTATTTTATACATATTGGTCATAGCAATGGCGGTTAATCTCCGATTTCGAATGAATGAGCCATGGCCAGATTACTCTGTTGGCAATATAATATGGCCTGCTCTGTCGTTATACCACAGCGATCAACAACAAGATTCTTTGGATGATGGAACAAAGACAATATAGGCTTTGGTCTGTAAATTAAGAGGGTCAGTTGCGAAACTTGATCAAGAGTTCATGAGAAAGTTACAAGGCAAAGACGGGAGACGAGAATTTCTAAGGAACCTAGAAGCATTTTGGAAGCCAACAATCATGGTAGATGCTGCTGTTGAAAACGCGAGTATAGTAGCGTCGTTTACAATAACTTCCACAATCGGACTGAGATTGTACGATGTTGATTTTGGATGGGGAAAACCTGCTTGGATCACCATGGCTCAATTCCCAACTCCAAATGTGGCCTTTTTGCTGCAGTCTCCGGTTGGATATGGTGTTGAAGTTTGGCTCACCTTGCCTGAAAAAGAAATGGTCATGCTGGAACAAGAACCTGAATTCACTATTTATGCTAAGAACAATATGTGTGTACTTTGAGCCCCCACTACCTATTAAGTTTCCTTTTTTACTTTATAACTTCATCAAATAAGTGGTGATTGTTTCTTATTGTTGGATTGTATCCGATGAAGGTGATAATGTCGTGATCTTTTTCTGCTTTTCTCTACGTGGCTTGATTGTATTATGAGTTAATATATTTTCATATTAATATACGCGTAATTAATTGTTTCCCTCAAAGTTGACATTATATGAATTGTATTTGTTTGACAGTGAGATTAAATTCACATCATAGTTTGAAATTAAGACTCGTAGATGCTCCCAAAAAAAAAAAAAAGACCCGTAGATGCTATTTATTTTTTCAGGCTTAATTGCAAGTTTGGTCACTCGAATTGCTCAAAAATTTCACGTTTGCCACTCGAATTGATTTATACTATTTATAGTCACTCGAATTAGTTGAACAGTCCAAGTTCGGTCACTCTCCGTTAACCTCCGTTAGACTCCGTTAATGACGACCGTTAAGTGATGATGTGGCTAACAGAAAGACACAGTCAGCACATTTTAACATTAAAAAAAGACGACCCGACCCGCCAGCTCAGCCTTACCCGCCCTGTCAGCCATTTTTTCCCAACCCGCGAATCCCAATTCCCACCTCTCCTTCTCCTACGACCCATTCACCGTCAGCGCCGCCTCCGGCGACGTCTTCCTCGGCAACGGGACCCTCCCGGCGTTCTCGCTGAGCAAGAAGAACGAGACGAGCCTGAGGAACGTGGTGGTGTCCGGGTCGAACGAGGTGGACGCGGAGTCGGTGAACGGGCTCAGATCGGATCTGAAGAAGAGGAACGGAGTGGCGACGCTCAAGATTCAGCTGGACACGAAAGTGGTTGTGAAGGTGGGCAAGCTGAAGACGAAGAAAGTTGGGATTCGGGTCACCTGTGAGGACATTAAAGGGGCGGTACCGAAAGGTAAGGCTCCTCCCTCTGTTGTTGTAACTGCTGGGTCCAAGTGTAAGGTGGACTTGAGAATCAAGATCTGGAAGGTCACTTTCCGAGTAAGCTTTCATAGTCATGCATCCAATTTGCCTCTGCCAAGCAAAACCCCAGATTTGATTCAAGAATAGGGCGAGGACGGCAGGTGGATGGCTGATGAATGAAAGATGAGGAGGTGACGGCGACGACGACGGGTGGATGGCCGTTGAATCGGTTGGTTCGCGGGTTGGGCAAAAAATGGTTGGCAGGGCAGGTAAGGCTGAGCTGGCGGGTCGGGTAGTCTTTTTTTAATGTTAAAATGTGCTGACTGTGTCTTTCTGTTAGCCACGTCATCACTTAACGGTCGTCATTAACGGAGTCTAACGGAGGTTAACGGAGAGTGACCGAACTTGGACTGTTCAACTAATTCGAGTGACTATAAATGGAATAAATCAATTCGAGTGGCAAACATGAAATTTTTGAGCAATTCGAGTGACCAAACTTGCAATTAAGCCTATTTTTTCATGAGTGGCACGTGGAGATAAATGTTTGAGAATTACGACAGTACTATTGCTCTTATTTTGTTCTCATCGCCCGCCAAGTCACGCATCCACCTCTTGCTGAGCAGAACAATTAACTATCATTCTGAATTCACGATAACAATTAATTCCGTGATTAAAAGTTGATTATTTGCGTGATTAAACGTATGAAAGCAGCGGTGAACATGAGAATTGAGAAGGTTCCTGGTCCCGCTGGCGAGTCGAGTGACGTCGAGTTCCGCTTTCGGGGAGTTGGAGAACGAGATCGGAGAAGGGTTCTTGGCCGTGGTTGACGAGAACGTAAGGGCACTTAATGGATTTTGAAGGAATCCTCGAACAGCATGGAGTTCGGAGGAGAAGGGATATCACGAAACGACGGCGTCTAGGTGATGAAGCGGAGAACATTCTGCTCAACCTTCAAGAGACTTGGGACCTCGGCATCCCTTTGGCAACCGACGACATCAAAGCCGCCGTTCTTGTCAGTATTATTAATAGATTATTTCATTCATAATTATTGCTTTGAAATTTAAGCAACAATGAATTATCAACTTTGACTTCTTCCTGGTACTTGACCAATAATGAATTATCAAGTTTTGTTCTAGAGAAACTGTTTTCTAAAGTTGTATAAAAACTAAAAAGTTAAAATGGATTCTTTTGGAGTAGAATTTTACAATCTTTTACTTTGTGTTACTATCAATATGGATTATGACTTCCTTGTTTGTATACTAGAATATGTTTCTTGGTGGAGTTGAGACATCAACGAGCGGTGAGTGCAATAAAATAGACCGTGTCAGAGGTTACAATAAGTGAAGGAAGAGGTGAGTCGAGTCTTCCAGAGCAAGGGAAATGTTGATGAAGATTGACTCAATGAGCTAACCTATTTGCACGCAATTATCAAAGAGACTTTACGATTATACATTGTCAGCCCGTTAGTTCTCCCAAGAGAAACTAGAGAGACCGTACAGATCTATAGATTTGAGATCCATGTCAAGACTAGCTAGGGATCTCAAACCGATAGAACAGTTTGAAATACCCCCACAAGAAAACGAGTATTATCAAATTAATATGGCCGCCAATAATACTCTCCAACAATTAATAACATCTTGTTGTGTCCGTCGTACTTCATCAATAATTCACGTACGTATATTCGTTATAACAGTGCCATGATAATACGGAAACCGAACCCAATTAGGTTACGCTCTCCATTTTGGGTGTATGTGTTACTTATACTTATACATCTTATTTCTTGATTCTTGTTTTTAATCACCATATTCGTCTTAAAATGATTGATGTCTTCAATTTTATAATAATGAACAATAAAAAACATGAATTCACTTTTATTTTCAGGAATTCTAAAACTAACTCAGTAGACTTTCAGAAATTCATCTCATAATAATCATATTATAAGGAAAAATTTATTAGTAAATAGCATGGATTAGTTATAATTTTAAACTATATATTCATCATCTTAAACAAATACCAAGGATTAAAATATAAAACTTGACGATCAAAGTTTAATTCTAGACATTTGTGTAATACACCTGAATGGAGGATATCCTAGCAACGTGCCTAGGAACATAAATGAATGAAACACAAACATCGATCAAATGATGTTCTCGTCTCTTGGGTTACATATATGATAATACGCAGCATGTAGGCAGGTTTGTTTGCTGCCAAAGGAGATACGTACGTGTTTCTCCGCTCCGGCCAACGAGTGTCGTCACCTTACAGCCCTATCCTCCACCAGTCACCGCCAGTGGCGGAGCCAGCTAGTGATGATCATCATAAGATCTGTGTCGGCTCCACGGAAAATCATGAAAAGAGCATCTGCATGCCTTGCTACAATTGTCGTCGTGCATAACAACCTGCCAACGAGTACTGTCCTCACGTACAACACAATATATTGTCCGGAGATCCCTAAGGACCCATGTGACAATGTAATCAGTATAAAGCAGTAGTGTCAATTGGGCTCATTATTTGGTTTGTTTATATACCGTGGTGGAGTCCAAATTCTGAATAGAGGATCGCAAAATTCCCATGCCTATCCAACCACAACAAGCGCCTGTGAGCAGGTTCTCACAATACGGTCGAAAACTCCAATTTACACCTTGGAAGATAATATATTTTTTCTTTGCGCTAATCAACCCAAAATTAGCCAGCTGGTCTCTCTGATTCCAAAGCTCTGAATCTGATCTATATAATTAGTAGTAGCCATTTTGGGAAGTCATTTATTTCCCTTTATCACCGTTGTACGACCTTAATTGTTACGTTACAACCATCAACCATGTTTCCATTTCTGGTTCGTGTTGCTCTCAGCAAGAAGCCTGCAGCTGCATCTTCCATTTGGTCCCTTCATAGAGCAATATTACTGCTTCCACCATCACTGAAACCCAGCAGCAATCAGTACCATTATTACCATCATAAAGTCAGCGTAAGCTCCACAGAAACCATCAAACCGTCTTCCCCAACTCCCGCCAAACTCGCCACATTCAAGCTCTCCCTCATCGACAACCATGTCCCGCCAATTTACGTACCTTTCATCTTCTTTTTCCCTGCTCCCGGCTCCACCACGGGACCAAAACCAGGGGAGAGATTCGAGACCCTCAAGTCTTCACTCGCCCAGGCCCTCACGCGCTTCTACCCACTCGCCGGCAGGTTGTCCAAATCTGCCGACATCAATGGAGCAGGTTCGGTTCCCGTCGTCCATTGCAACGACGAGGGTGTGCCGTTTTCTTCCGCCGCGGTCGATTTGTCCATGGCCCAGTTTCTCAGGAAGCGAATCGAGATCGACTCGCTCCAGCAATTCCTCCCTTTCCCTGCCGATCTGATCATCTCGGGCCTCGAATCGGTGCCACAGATCGGCTTCAGGGCCACCGCGTTCCCATGCGGCGGGCTTGCCATCGGTGTTTGCTTCTTCCACAAGATCGTAGATGGCCCCACCTTGGCCGATTTCATGAAACTCTGGTCCGCCGTCGTCAGGAGCGAGGAGAAAACGGCGGCGGCAGTGGTAGGCGGCAGCGCGTACGCTCACGATCTCGCTGCCACGTCACTACTGCCGCTGCGACACGACGACGTTGCCCCATCCCCAAAAGATTTCGTGGGCGAACAAGGGAAGATCGTGACGAGGAGGCTAGCTTTCGACGAAGAAGCGATTCACGCGCTGAAAGCCATAGCGAAGAGCGATCAGATACCCAATCCGAGCCGGAGCGAGGCAGTTGGTGGGTTTTTGTGGAAGCACGTGATGGGTGCAGCCGCCAGAGCAGCGTCACCCGACGGGTCAAACCCCAGATCAGTCGTCTCAATTGCAAGTAATGCCAAAATTATATTTTGCGTTTCATATATGTTTAAATGATGCACAAATGTTAAAACACAATGGATATTTCCATTACCTATCTCAACTCGAGTTACTGCAGCTGCTCATTGGTTAATTTTTATATGATGCATGTTGGTCATAGCGATGGCGGTTAACCTCCGATCTCGAATGAATGAGCCATGGCCAGATTACTCTATCGGCAACATAATTTGGACGGCAGTGTCAGTACACCACAACAACCATCAACATGATTATTTGGGTGATGGAACAAAGACCACAATACAAGAGCTGGTCCGTAAATTGAGGGGGTCAGTTGCGAAACTGGATAAAGAGTTTATGACAAAGTTACAAGGCAGAGATGGGAGACGAGAGTATCTGATGAATCTAGAAGCATTGTGGAAGCCGGCGATTGCGGTAGATGCTTCTGTTGAAAACCAGACGATAGTAGTGCCATTTAGGATAACTTCCAATATCGGAATGAGATTCTACGATGTTGATTTTGGATGGGGAAAGCCTGCTTGGGTCACCATGGCTCAATTCCCAAATCCGATCCCAAATTTGGCCGTTTTGTTGCAGTCCCCAGTTGGAGACGGGGTTGAAGTTTGGCTCACTTTGCATGAAAAAGAAATGGCCATATTGGAACAAGAACCTGAGTTCGCTACTTATGCTAAAAATAACATGCCTGTACTTTGAGTTTTTTTCTTTTTTTTTGGCCCTGGCTACATATTAAGTTTCCTTCAAGTTAAGATTCCTTCTCTTGAGAAATCTTCCAACGCTAGAACTTTATCAAATAAGTTATGATTGTTTCTTATTGTTGGATTGTATCCAATGAATGTTATGTTGTGATTTTTTTCTCGTCTTTTTCTCCATATGTGTTGGTTACTTGGTTATAGTAATGAATTATAATATGTTGGCTAAAATATGTGATGTTATCTCTTTGGAATTTGACAAAAATGGCTATGAAAAAATATCTATTTAATTCGGTAATTAATAGACTTAATCATAGGTGAAGAATAGCCTCAAGCCAAATTCATGATTTACAGCCTTCAAAATACAAGAAAAATAGTTTTTCGAAAAAATCGCCCGAAATCTGTGATGGTAGCGTACTCCTATTGAATCTTCCAAAAATGGTCCAGAAATAAATCCGTCCAAAAATCGGTGCTTAATTGACTTAAACATCAGTGAAGAATAAATGCACGCCGAATCCGTGATCTGTAGCATTAAAATTCAAAGGAAATTATATTTAAAAAAATCACCCAAAAGTTATGAAAATGCCCTCCGAAAAATATCCACCCAAATCGGTGATTGGTAGATTTTTATCGTTGATGAAGAATAGCGTCACACAAAATATTTTCATATTAGACTCACTATAAATTGAAAAGATTAAAATTTTAATCATGTCAAAAAATAGTGTGGCACATCTATTTCCAAAAAAAATGAATGTTTAGTACTTAGAAAATATTATTCATTATATATTCGAAAGTATCATTAAAATGAACTAATTTTTAATTAAGAAATTAATAAACCAAAATATCAAATTTAAATGATTAACTTCATTTGTTTAGTCAAATGAAAACTAAAAAGGAAAATTACAAATATTCATCATGTACCTCATAATGATTATAAATTGAGGGACTTAACTTAATTATCTGTTTTAAAATAAAGTACTTGATATATACTTAAATTTATTAATTGATGTAAAGTGAAGGATTTATTTAGGCTTACCATGAATTATGAAAGCAGTAACCACAGCCTACCATTAATAAAAAGGAAATGGAAAAACAGAAATCTGCTTCCATTTGGCATAAAATCCAAGACCAACGAGTCCGTGTAGAAGCTGTTTACCGCTGAGCAAAATGAAATTTCTTTTCCCTTCAAAAAAAAAAAAAAAAAAATCTTTTTAAACATGCACGTTTTAATATTTAATTAAATTTGAAGTTTATACATAATATCCCGAACCATATATAGTTATATACCCGAGATTTGAAATTCTCGGGAGACCGGCCTCCATTAGTGCTGTAGCTCCATCCCTGCTACTGGGTTGCTAGATCCTTTGCACATAATTCACTTCCTCAGGACTGGATCACAGTCTTAGAGCTTATTTCAGAGTTCTTTCCATGATGTATTTTGTAACTGCTTTCTATTGGAGGAATAAAATTCACCATCTTTCAGTACAAAAAAAATATCCTTAAGGATCCATGACAGTGTAGTAATATTTGCGTTGTATATTTGGTTTGTTTATAGTCTCTCTACAGTCTACAATAGAAAAACCAAAGTCGTTGCCCACATGAGAAATAAATAAAAACAAGTCAACTTTAGTTGGGGATTTATCAATATACATAAAGTTGGCCTGTATATTTGGTTTGTTTATAGTGTTAACCACCTTTTGACTTTTGTCCGATCCTTTAGTTGAATGAGTCGGTTTTATTTGTAGGCTGCAGCCAAATTTTGTCCACTTCGAAACCCTCTTAGTCCTTAGATGCCCAATGCCAGAAAAAGTATAATCCATGGCATCTCCTAAATTCTGGTCTACATATTTATTAGTCATTCCCTTCATCCGCGCTTTACAAACCATCAACCATGTTTCCATTACTGGTTCGTGCTGCTCTGAGCAGCAAGAAGCCTGCAGCTTCGATTTGGTCCCTCCATAGAGTAAGAGTATTACTACTGCTACCACCATCACTGAAAACCAGCAGCAGTCACCATTTTCATCATAATGTCAACGTAAGCTCCACGGAAACCATTAAACCTTCTTCCCCAACTCCCGCCCAACGCACCACATTCAAGCTCTCCCTCATCGACAACGATGTCCCGCCAATTTATGTACCTTTCATCTTCTTCTTTTTTCCTGGTCCCGGCTCCACGGGACCAAACCCAGGGGAGAGAAGATTCGAGACCCTCAAGTCTTCACTCGCCCAGACCCTCACGCGCTTCTACCCACTCGCCGGCAGGCTGTCCAAATCCGGCGGCATCGATCAAGCCGGTTCAGTTCCCGTCGTCCATTGCAACGATGAGGGCGTGCCGTTTTCTTCCGCCACGGTCGATTTGTCCGTGGCCGAGTTTCTCAGGAAACGTCTCGAAATTGACTCGCTCCAGCAATTCCTCCCTTTCACTGCAGATCCGATCGTCTCGGACCTCGAATCGGCGCCGCAGATCGCCTTCAGGGCTACCGCTTTCCCTTGCGGCGGGCTCGCCATCGGTGTTTGCATGTTGCACAAGATCATCGACGCCGCCACTTTGGCCGATAAACTCTGGTCCGCCGTCGCCAGTAGCCAGGACAAAACGGCGGCGGCAGCAGTTGGCGGCGGCGCGTATGCTCACGATCGCGCCGCCACGTCACTCCTGCCGCTGCGTCACGGAGATGTCCCCGCAGTCACAGAGGATTTAGTGCGCGAACAAGGGAAGATGCTGACGAGGAGACTCGCGTTCGATGAGGAAGCGATTCACGCGCTGAAAGCCAAAGCGAAGAGCGATCAGATACCCAACCCGACCCGGACGGAGGCGGTTGCTGGGTTTTTGTGGAAGCACGTGATGAGCGCAGCCGCCAGAGCAGCGTCACCCGACGGGTCAAACACCAGATCAGTTGCCTCAGTTGCAGGTAATGCCAAAATATGTATTCTAAATGTTTAAATGATGCACAAACCTTAAAACACGCAAACAACCTTTTAACTCAAGTTATTGTAGCCAATTGACTAACTTTTATTTTATGCATGTTTTTTCATAGCGATGGTGGTTAATCTCCGATCTCGAATGAATGAGCCATGGCCAAATTACTCCATTGGCAACATAATTTGGGCAGCTATGTCGTTCCACCACCATGATCAACAACAAGAGTCTTTGGAAGATGGAACAAAGACAATACAAGAGTTGGTCCATAAATTGAGGAGTTCAGTTGAGGAAATTGATAAGGAGTTTATAGGAAAGTTACAAGGCAGAAATGGGAGACAAGAATATACGAGGAATCTAGAAGCGTTATGGAAGCCGACGATCACGATAGGTGCGTTTAAAAATGAGAGTATAATGGTGCCATTTAGGATATCTTCTACGATCGGACTGAGATTGTACGATATTGATTTTGGATGGGGAAAGCCAGCTTGGGTCACCACGGCTCAATTCCCATGTCAAATCCCATATACGGCCACGTTGTTGCAATCCCCGGTTGGATATGGTGTTGAAGTTTGGCTCACCTTGCTTGAAAAAGAAATGACCATACTGGAACATGAAGTCGAATTCGTTACTTATGCGAAGAACAATATGCCTGTACTTTGAGCATTGTTTGGCCCCTACCTATTAGGTTCCATTGTCTTGAAAAATCTTCCAACAGTAGAACTTCATCAAAGAAGTTGTAATTGTTTTCGTTTGTTAAATTGTATATCCGATGAATATGATGTTGTTGTTTTTCTTCTACTTCTCCATAGCTAAATGGTCCGTTGAAGGATTAACTAGTATACCCGTAATGGTTTCACTGTCAAAGTTGAGACATGACTAATGGATCATGGATGTTCTTTTCTTCTTCATGAGTGACACTTGATTATTGGGCAATGTCTATTTTTTACCCAAACCTTTTTCAGATTCTTTTATTTTAACCAAACCTATTGAATTCCTAAAAATTATCCAAACGTTAACTCTCCGTCAACTTTTCTGTTAGTAATGCTGACTAAGTATGACCATAATGAGTTGACTTCCTACGTGGCGGTCAGAATACCATCATTTACTATTTTTAATAAAAAGATTATAAAAAAACAAAACAAAATCCCACCCTCACGTGGACGAAATAAGTAACGGTAACAGAATGAATGCCCAAACTTTGGTAAATTATAATACGTTTGGATAATAAATAGAATTTCTATAGATTTGGTTAAAATAAAAGAATCTGAAAAAGGTTTGGGTAAAAAATAGACATTGCCCTTGATTATTCCATGTTCGTTATACATGTTGAATCTTCATTTACTGTTGCACTTGTTTACGTAGATGATATAATTCTTGCTGGAAATGACATCATTGCTATCCAAAACCTTAAAACCAGCCTAGACCAAACTTTCACAATAAAAGAACTAGGTGAACTTACCTACAACTAATATTACAATCTACCCTATCAACTATACATATGTTTCAATTAAGTCTTCGTCTTTTTGTAGTCTCGGACAACTCCATCATCGGAAGCCTGCACCTCCTGATCATCGGAAATCTGCCTCCACTTCAACGGCTGAGACAACTCGCCGAGAAATACGGACCGGTGATGCAGCTCCAGCTCGGGGAAGTGACCAACGTCATCATCTCCACTCCCGAGGCCGCGAAGCTGGTGATGAAAACCCACGACCTCGTCTTCGCTTCCAGGCCGGCTCCCCACCAGCTGGTGGCCCCCACCACCATCTTGTACGGCTGCAACGACGTCGCCTTCGCGCCATACGGGGACGACTGGCGGCAGATGCGGAAGGTCTGCATCTTCGAGCTTCTCAGCGCCAAGCGCATGGCATCCTTCCGAAATGTCAGAAGCCAGGAGATCTCCAAACTCGTCGCTGCCATCAGCGAATTCGTGCATGGGAATAATAATGAAGCCGCGGTGAACATGAGGAGGTTGCTGGTCCCCCTGGCGAGTCGCGTGGCGTGACTTCGAGGTCGGCTTTCGGGGCGCTGGAGAACGAGATCGCAGAAGGGTTCTTGGCCGTGGTTGACGAGATCGTGAAGGCACACAACGGGCTGGGACTGTCGGATTTGTATCCTTCTTTGAAGTTCATCCCTGTGGTTACTGGGTTTCTACCGAAGCTGAAGTCGCTGCATGGAGCGGCGGATTCCATTTTGGGAGGAATCCTCGAGCAGCATCGAGCCAAGCGAGAAGAGAAGATTCGATGAAATGAAACTGAGGATATTGTCGACATTTTGCTCAACCTCTAAGTCTAAGAGACGGGGGACCTCCCGCTCCCCTTGACAACCGACGCCCTCAAAGCCATCGTTCTTGTCAGTATGATTAATCAATTATTTCATTCATAATTATTGCTTTGAAATTTAAGCCGTCATGAATTATGAAGTTTGACTTCTGCCTGAGATTTGACGGTTGAGCAATAATGAATTATCAATTACTAGCTATTTGTTGCTGGCTATGCCTAGTTGTTAGAAACCAATTTCATTAGGGTTTCTACATTTATTATTATAGATACTGATATGGTAGTTCTTATTATGGTTAGTAGACTTTTAGTAGAATTAAGTTTATTAGTAGGGTTTCCTAGTGTTCCCTATAAATATGTACTGTGAGTCTACGTTACGGGCAGTCAAGAAATAATTATCAAATAATCTCCTAAAGCCTAATCTCTCTCTATCCTCTCAATTCTCGATCCCTATCCCTCCAAGGCCTCGGCCGATTCTCAATTCTATTCTTCTTCTTCCCCAAATCCCCCAATCTCAATCCCTAATTCTATTCATATAAACCCTAATCCCCAAATATCAAACCCGTTAGAAACTTTGTTTCTAACATCTGGTATCAGAGGCTGGTTCCGATCGGTGAGTTCTTCTCAACTCCATCAGGGACAGCTTAGAAACCAGAGAATCAGCGATGGAAAAATCAGAGCAGACATGGGCTCAGAAGCGAGAAAGGCTGTGGCAAATCGCGAGCTTTTGGAAGGAGGAGGCGAAGGCGACGGCGCTCGGGCAGGCTGGCCGAGGCGAGGAGGGCGCCGCGCTGTGGGCGGCGGCGCGCGCGACTGCAGGAGGCGGCGCGGAGCACGGCCCGCTCGTCGGGGCTGTCGGAGGAACGCCGGGGATCGCGCGGACCGCGGAGGGGCGCGAGGCTGAGGGCGGCATCACCTCTCCGCGCGCTGCTCGAGAATCCGACGAGGCAGCCGACGAGGCTGAGACAATCGACGGTGAGGAGTTTGAAGAAGAAGACGAGCTGGTGATTCCCACCGCTGACGTCCTAAGCATCTCGCCACCACCCGTTGTTGTCATCTCAACAACCATCACCGAGGCTCAACTGCTACTGACTTCAACAGCATCGGTGACAGTCACGATCATCAACCCCGTCATCGCAGAGTTCGTGGTGAAGCCGGAGATAGATCAAGAAGAAAAAGCTGATGGGAGTCTCGGTCAAGCGCGCCACAGCGGGAGCTGGGTGTCCCTAAATCTGGCCACACCACCACAAAGGCGACCACCAGATGAGCTGGGGACGTCGACTGCCAGGAAGAGGAAGAAGAAGAAGTTGATCGCCACGGGAAGAACTCGTGGCCGGAACTTGGAGTCACGTCGAGGAAGGACTGGAAGAGGAAGAAGAAGAAGTTGATCGCCAAGGGGAAGAACTCGTGGCCGGAGCTTGGAGTCGGAATCGACTGTCGACGCGGAGCACCGGCGGAGGTGGTAACGGAGAGGGAGAGATGCGACGGCAACAATCGACGAGCGGAGCCGACTCATTGCCAATTCTCATTGCCGGCTGTGCGATTAATGATGGCGCCGGCATGGGGGTCAAACGCCAAGGGGAGGAAGCCGTGGGGAGAGCCTGTGGAGGAGAAGAAGTCGCCAGAGTTGAAGTTGTTCACGGCGTTGGTCTCCAGGAGAGGCTCGGCGACAGCGAGCCTGACGAGGTCGGAATCGGCTGTCACCGATCGGGCGAATCTCTCGTCATAGGGGAAGAAGTCACACCATGGGCGGGGCGCGCCTGAACTTCGAATCGCGCGCGTAACGTGGCGATTGGAGGCAGCGTCCGTCGCGAGGTTGAGCGGCGGAGCAGCAACAACAGACTTGGAACTGGTGGAGGACTCATTGTCGGGACCGCGTTTTGAGAAGTCGGAGCTATTCACGGAGAGGACGTCGGCAAGAGATACGACGATGGCAGGAGGCGAAACGAGGAGGATGATGATGGCGTATTCTTTGGCGGCATTCGCTGACGAGGAAGAGAAGCCGGTAACGAGGTGGGCTGCTCGCAGGAGAAGCCGCTCGCCGGCGGGGAAGTCGAAGGATGAAAGAGAGGAGGACGGCGCTGCCTCTCCTTTGGCAATCCATGGGCCGCCAACCCTAGGGAGCATCGCACACCAATGTGATTCAGTGGGCCGCGCAATACAACAGGCCGTCCAAATGGATCGGGCTGTTTCGGGCCGAAATGGCCAGTCAAATTGGGTTGAGCTCAGTCCGGAGTATAGGCAGTGGTGTTGGACTGAGTGGGCCGAAGCTAATAATAAAATGGAGGGAGAGAGAGCTTGGTCTTCGGTCGAATAAGAAGGAATTAAAAGAAAGCAATGGGCCAAGTTCACAAGGCTTGGATTAAAAAGGGGTTGTCTTGTGGATACCCTTCTATACGGAGTGGGCTTCAGGAAAAAGAGAGATGAATTCATGGGTTTGGCAAGTGAGCTCACAAGAAAATATGAGCCAGGAGCAATTGAAGGGCTAACTATGGGAATTGATGGGCAACGGAAGAGTAATTCTAGTCTAGAGCCTCGACCTCTTGGAGGGATCAGATCCGCATGGGCCATCGATATGGAGTTTGAAGTTCTTGATGGCTTGATTCCTATGGATGGATTCTTGTGCAAAGAAGTATCTTTGGATTTCTTGAGCTTAGGGAGGAAGATGACAATGAAAGAAGAGTTATTGAAGTTGGAGTTTCTCGAGGAAGCATGGGTTGAGCCCTCAAAATTGAAATTTACAGCTTTTGATCAACACAAGAAGGTCAAAGCAAGAAGTACAATTAAGAAGATAGAGCATGATTGGAAGAAAAGGAAGCACAAGAAGCAAAGAAGCAAAGATCGGATTGGGCGAGAAGGTTGAAAGAAATGGGTCGAGTCGGTCAACCTTGAGGGCAAGGTTGGTCTGAAGGGGGAGGAGATGTTAGAAACCAATTTCATTAGGGTTTCTACATTTATTATTATAGTTACTGATATGGTAGTTCTTATTATGGTTAGTAGACTTTTAGTGGAATTAGGTTTATTAGTAGGGTTTCCTAGTGTTCCCTATAAATATGTACTGTGAGTCTACGTTACGGGCAGTCAAGAAATAATTATCAAATAATCTCCTAAAGCCTAATCTCTCTCTATCCTCTCAATTCTCGATCCCTATCCCTCCAAGGCCTCGGCCGATTCTCAATTCTATTCTTCTTCTTCCCCAAATCCCCCAATCTCAATCCCTAATTCTATTCATATAAACCCTAATCCCCAAATATCAAACCCGTTAGAAACTTTGTTTCTAACACTAGTAGAGGTGGAGGTTGGGTCGGTCGGTCGGTTCAGTTATAACCGAAAATTAAAGGGTCGGTTATCGGTTAACCGAACCAACTCCCAATATTACCGATCACCGACCGAAAATGGGATTAAAGCTTCGGTTATTTTGATTTTCGGTTAACCAAACTGCTCACAAGGCCAAAATCATCTCGTCGACGTCCATCCCTTCAAATACCAATTGATTTTCGATTATTTTGGTTTTCAGTTAGGGAATAACCGGCCGATTAACCGCTAACCGGTCACCAATTGGCCACTCCTGATGCCCAGCAGACCAATACTATCATCCTTTAACTTTTCCAAGGGTTGGTTCCCCAAAATATAATAGCATCTATGTAAATAGATGGTCATCTAATTGGTTTAATAGGCACTTTGGACAGGTGTCTTCACCACAGTTCTTTGTAACCAAAAAAATCTAATAGTACAATTGTTATAGAGAAGGTGTTTTCTAAATTCTTATATCAAGTTAAAAATTAATATTTTGGAGAGTGAAAATTTTATTATCTTTTATTTTGTTTTACTCTTGAACTGAATTCTAACTTCATTGTTTGCATACTAGGATATGTTTCTGGTGGAGTTGAGACATCGGCAAGCACAATAGAATGGACTATGTCCGAGATGGTAAAAAATCCAAGAGTGTTGCAGCTAGCACAGGAAAAAGTGAAGGGAATCTTCCAGAGCAAGGGAAATGTTGACGAAAATCGACTCAATGAGCTAACCTACTTACATGCAATTATCAAAGAGACTTTGCGATTACACCCTGCCGGCCCATTAGTTCTCCCGAGAGAAATGAGAGAGACCGTACATATTTATGAGTTTGAGATACCTGCCAATACCAGGGTCCTAGTCAACGTATGGGCCATTGGAAGAGACCCTAGTTACTGGATGGATGCTGAAAAGTTTTGTCCAGAAAGGTTTCTCAACTCCTCGATCGAATATAAAGGAACAAACTTCGAGTACATACCATTTGATGCTGGGAGGAGGATCTTCCCAGGAATACAATTTGGAATGAGTGTCGTTCAGCTCACGTCAGCAAATCTACTGTTTCATTTCGACTGGAAAGCTCTCAACGGATTGGAAAACCTTGATATGATAGAGCAATTTGGAATCACCCTCACAAGAAAACAAGTATTGCGACTTATCCCTATTGCACCAGATTATGCAATGCCTATGTTACCTTAGATTCACAAAGGCACCCAGACAATTATATATGGTGGCATTTACTCTTCGTTCGCCTCTGTTTGCTTTTTTTTTTTTTTCTATTGTCCATGAACTCTGTTTTGCTTGTTCGAGGAAGCTTGTATTTTACAAATTTCAATGAATGGTGTCTTTGATATTTGATAAATTATTGATATATTCAAATGAATTATACTATTATAGAATCTTGCAGTTCTTTGCAATTGCATCGTGCTAACCTCTAATATTGCACGCTACATGAACTAGTTTATGAAAGTAATCACTTTTTGAATCTTGGTTTATTGGGACTTTGAATTTGTGATAAAATTCTAACCTCGAAACGACTGAGCCATGGCCAGATTACTCCCCTAGCAACGTAGTTTGGAAATGCTCTTTCCTTATACCACAACCATCAACAACAGAGTGTTTTGAACGATGAAGCAAAAATAGGACTGTGTTGGCGCCTTGGAGGCTGTTGGGCCCGGGCTTGAAAATCGTTAGTTGTGGGCTTGATCCACTCCCATGGCCCGCTGGTTAGGTTGGATTCTGTACGGTATATGTAACTTCTGGTAAACCCATAACAGTACGGGTTAATTGATGGTATGATGATTCCATACAAAATTCTAGTTTGTTGTTTTGTTTGATGGACTCTAACACTAAACTTCTATTGTAAACTCTAGATTCTAAGTTGTTCAAATCAAAATAAATTTTGAATGCTTTTGTGAAAATTAATATGTTTTTATTGTGAATCGTATCACAAGTGACAATTGAAATCGTTTTGACATAATAAATATTATGTTCAGAATGACGATTATAAGATGAGTGCATAAAATGCATAAAAAAAAGTGAGTGTGTGCCAAGTACAAAACCATATATATCCCACGTGAGATTTACAAGCATAAATTACAGAGTGGTGGTGACTAAACAACTCCACACCATACAAGTACATCCAACATGAATTGTGAATTTCGTAATCGCGATTCATTCTACTGCCGTGGATCATGAGATGCACTATCTAATAGTACAAACAAGCAGTTACTAAGACTCCTACATTTACTCTAAGTCACTAACCATGGCAGTCATGAAAGATGCTGTTGAAAATCGGAGTACTGTGATTCCTTTTAGCAATTAGCATGTTGATTTTTTTGGGTGCGGGAGGCCTATCCGGATTAACATGGCCACAACAAGATTTTAGGACCAATTTTTTTTTTTTAAGAGGGAGGGAATGATGCTACCATTCCCATCTCACTAGAGCTAATTCGAGTTCTAATAATATTTCCACATGGATCATTGGCCAAGCCCAAGCTCATCAATTCATGAATCCTTCATTTTTGTGTCTGCCAAATGGTGTCAGCAGCTTAAACTTGAGCATTCCTCCTGCTAGTCTGCAACAGAGGAGCCTTCTCTGTGGACTGAGTGTCCTTCTGCTGGCTGCAGCAATCATCCTCATGAGCTTTCCCCCACATCACAGCGTAGAATCCAATCGAGAGCACCACTGCCCCAATCACACTGCCAAAAAATAATAACAGTACATTTTGGAAAACCTTTGAATTGTTCATATCATATGGTTCAGAGTCAAAGCTGTACTCATTTTCCAATTGCGTACCTTCCTACATAAAGCGTGTCACCCAAGAACATGGCGCCCATAGCAACAGCAATCACGACAGAGAAAGGCTTGAACATCACCACGAATACTGGCCCCTTCTTCCTCACTACCCACGCACGAACAACGGACTTCAAGCACGACCCAAGTAGCCCCTACAGAAAACATACACATCAGGAACAAGTAATGTCGATGTCTTCAGCCTCTGAATTTCTTGAAAACCAAGTCTCGAATTGACCTCTTACCGTGCACAACACCGAGGCCAATGCTACATTAGGCCTCAATATCCAGGCACTTGCACAAGTTCCTTCAGTGTACAGAGCGACAATCGTGGCTGTGATGGTCACGGCTATGTTGCGGAAGAACACTACCGTGAGTTCAGCAGGGTATTCTGTCAGGATTCGATTCTGTTTCGGATGGGTAGCGGAGAAGCTTTGTCAGTCCAACTTCCGTATGGACTTGTTGAGATGGAAGGTGGCAGGTTAAGAGAGGAGGAAGCATTACCAGAAAAATGTATCCCAGGGAAAATAGAATGTACTCACAGGTGAGAAAAATCCCACCAAGGACCCAGTACTGTGCTGGTGAGCTCTCAAGGGACTGATAGAGTTGAGCGAACGACGAGGACGATGAAGAAGCAGCAATGAACATCGGAGCACCCTTGTAGAGAGTGACAACAAATGCACCTGCAATTGACACTATTGTGCCCAACACTTTGGCCTGATGGGATCCTCTCCTCAATACTACTTTTTCCATCCTTGCATTTCAAACAGAGGTAAGAGGTTAGGAGTGGTGAGAAGATAATATTTCATTTCATGGTTTACTACTTACAACATTGCCAGTAAAGAGGTAGCAAATTGAATTTGTAGATCGTTCGTGGATTCGGTTATGATGTGGTTTGGCGAGTATTTTGATCATTTGTTATGTGTAAGCACAACCTGGAAATGATTTAGTTCTTACACGAAGAATTATCGAACCATCCTATATATTCCTACCAACCCATATCGACACCCAATCCTCCATTGAATTTGCAGGAGCAGGAGGGTAACAATTCACCTGAACATGACAGCCAATATGAAGGTGAAGGCTGGAGTGAGGTTGGCAATGGCTGAAGCCAACGTTGGAGAGCTGTAGCTGATGCCTGCGGATCCCACAATCGAAGATGAGCCCCTGCTCCCCAAAACCAAACGTCTAATTGAATCCTTGCTACGTGATCCAAGTTCCAGCCTTTACGTCGATGGGAACACAGAAAAAACTTACACAATGATGCCGAGAAGACCGATTTTCCATAGTACGGAGAAACTCAGTGGAGGAAGAGCTCTTGATCTGCAAATTCAACACACAAAAGCAAATTCAGCCAACCCTCTCAACATAGTTAGGGAAACGAGTGAGTGAGAGAGAGAGAGAGAAAGGGCAACAACCTGTGGGAGAAGAAGGGGGCAGGGAGAAGGACAAGAGCAGCAATTGCGTATGCATAGACAACATAGACATAGTAGCTCATGCCCGCCGTTGTTGCAGCTTTGAAGAGTGTGTTCAACCCAACATTCATACACTCCATACTCACCATCGCTGAGAATGGCAGCAAATCCCCATAAACAAATCTTCCTCCTCCCGCCATTTCTGATGAATTTGCTAAGATGTTTATTGATGGAAAGCTTGGTTTGATACAGAAGATTTCCTACTCTACTTATACAGAATGAAAGAACATAAACAAATGGAGTAGCATGGGTTGACTGAAGCCTCTGTGAAGAGCACACGGAGTCTCTTCACTATTTTCCAGCTCACAAGAGTAATTGTTGATCCAAGAAGTAATTGTTGATGGTGGTTGGTGGCTGTTGAGTATTGGATGGTTTCCTACAATTTCTCTCCTTCTCTCAAACTCTCTGCTTTCTTTCCTCATCAGAAGGAAGGCTTTCCTCCACTAGACTAAAGTTCGCAATCAATCATGACATATCTTATCATATATTCTTATTCCACGTGGGAAAATGTTTGAGATGAATGAAAACATAATACAACCCCACTAGACTTTGAAGAAGCTAAAGAACAAATGTAATAATAGAAAAAAAATAGTTTAATATGATATGATATGATCAATGGGGTTATATATTTATTATGTTACTAATCAAGTATTACCGTACTAATTAAGGTAATAAGGTTGGTAATGTTTATAGTAGAATTGGTAGTATTTTACATTCAGTAAGAAGTTGTTTCGCTAAATATCTGAACATTTTCCTATACCGTAGGAATATTTTTACAGATCGTAGATATTTTTATATGAAGTAATACAAAAAAATAGACTTTTGATTCCTCATTTGATGTCCCACAATTTTCACCTCATAGGAGTGTTTTTACAATTAGCAATGTTTTGCATTAACTAAGGTGTTGTTTTTAAGCTCCAAATTTTGTTGGGTGCTTTCTGACTGAATCAAATGTAGGTTTTTTTTGTGTGTAATAGTTCGCAATCCTGAGTGTAATAATGTTTACGATATTGCGATAATGTGACAGGTTAGTAGTGATTTTATTTTCGGAATTGAAACCACTTTTAGCGAAAATCCCACTAAGTCTGCATGTTTCATTTTCCCTATATATCAACACTAATTTTGTATTATTTTTTGTCTTTTAGTTATATAAAAGTCTTAGTTCTAGATTTACTATTCATTAAGAGGTAAAATTATAAATAACACACAACTCCAAGGGCAATAGTCTATTAGAGTGGAGTGGATCCATCTATTCATCTTCGTTTTCTCTTTTTCAATTATTTATTATTTATTTCTACTTTTTTCTTCTATTCATAATTTTCTATCTTTATTCCTACATCTTTTTTCTTTTATTCATATTTCTATCCCCTAATATTATTTTTGATTTGTTATGGTGTTGAAATGAATCTATTTGTTCGTATTAGCCTATTTAATTTTACATCTTTGGTCATCTTTCTCGCTCGAGCTCAAATAGCAAAAGCATGGAGAAATTTTCTAACATGGGTTCCCATTCTTTAAACGTGTTTTGTTGTTGTTGTTGTGTTAAAATCGACATTTTGTTCGTATTTGGTTTTGCATTCTTACTTATCTCTTTCTCGCTCTCTATTTAAATGGTGAAAGTGACATCGAAATCAACAAAACCAAATGTTAAATTATTCCGTTTTTTCCTCTTTCTTATTTTTTCATTTCAAATGCAGAAACTTCGTAAATTCTCTAATTAACAATTGTTAAGTTTCACATATCATCCATTAATTATAACTTCGTTGGCTAGAGAGTGCATATTACTATAAATTTTCTCCGGCTCTCCCACAACATTTTAGTGGTTTTTCTTGCTGTTCTTGGAATTATGTTGTATGAGTTATATTTTATCAATTGTTTCATACGATACAATTACAGTGCTATTCTCCATTCGCCACGAAGCGTAAGCAAACGAGTATATCTTGTGTTTCTATAATTGTAACCATTTTATCTAAAATATGAGCAATTAAATTAGATGCTAGTTAGCATGGTACTAATTCTTATAAGTTTAGCACCCTATCTTCTCCCATGATGTTATTATATTTGAAATCATTACCGCTAATAACATCTGAAGTTTTAAACGTTTCTACCATATGAGTATGACTACTTACTTAACAAAGCCCAAAACAAAAAGTCCTCTTCAGATAACTAACTACTCCATTAACAATTAAGCATCCAATGGCGTCCAATTAGTGCAGACGTATACGCATGAAAGATTTGATCCGAAAAATCAAGCAAAGAAGATCAATGTGAATCATCATAAATATTAAAAAAATCCCTCAATTAGTAATTGCAGAAGAATTTATCCCTTGCCTTGTGTGTTTGGGATGGGGCATTTGATAGGGGTGTTCAAATGGTTACCATGGTTATTATCAAATCAAATAAGACTAAATTTCATTAACCATGGAATACAATATCATAATCAAACCGTCCAAACTAATACAACAACCAAATTAACCAAACTAAAGTTTAATCGGTTTGGTTAATTGGTTAATCAGATTAACAAATATAAAATCATATTATCATTAAGTGAGAAAATTTTCGGTTAATTTATCAATTCACAATTTATATAATGAATAAAACATAACAATCAACACATAGTTATAGTTGACCCTTAACATAAATACATGCAACTAAGACAATTATCTTACGGTTAGTATAGAAGTATTCACCAAACAAAAATTTATCACAATGGTATGGGTTAATGAATTGTTGTGTTTGTTTGAATTGACTTAGTCTTTTAGCAATTTTCCTAGGCTGAAAAGGACATTGCTTTCAAGTTTTCATCCAACATAATATATGAGATTTATCTAAATTAGGCGTTCAGATGTTGTGGTCTACACTCTACATATACAAATATAAATTATAAGAACAATACCAAGCTTTATATTTTATGAGTCTAAAAGAATGAACGTTCAACTCTTGAGTGGTTATTCAAAGTATTAAGTATGTGTATATATTAGATATATGACTAATTATTTATCTGGTTAATTTGGTTTGGCTGGTTAGGAATGTCTGAAACCAAACAAACCACCTAAACCAAACAATGTAAAAACTTTAACCAAACCAAACCAATTATCCAAATTAACCAAACCAAATTATCCAAATAGTACTGGTTAAAACGATTACCATAGTAACCACACCGCTTTAACACCTCTAGGAACTTGCCTCTAATTTTTGGCTCATGACCTGCAATTTTCTCTTGTGTGACATTTTGTGGCCTTTCTTTACCGACAAGACTAGTGCTTCCCCGTGTCTATTTTTGGATGTTGATGTTTCGGGACCGTTTTCCTTCTTTCTTGGTGGTGGTCCTGTTTTTGTTTGTCTGGTTCTTTCCTTTTGTTTCCCTTCCAATAATATTATTTGGTAAATGTCACATTTGGTCACTGTAATTACTAAATCGTGTTATGTTTAGTCACTAAAAAAAATTAATATCAATTTGGGTCACTCAAATTACTAAAACAGGTCATATTTAGTCACTCTCCCGTTAGTCGCCGTCCCAACTCTGATCGCTTGAATTACTTTTTTTATGAATGTCACTCGAATTACTGAAACATGTCATATTTAGTCACTCTCCGTTAGCCTCCGTCCAACTCCGTTAATGGAGTTGGACAGAAACTAACGAAAGAGTGGCTAAATATGACATGTTTCAGTAACTGGAATGACCAAAATTGATATTGATTTTTTCTAGTGACTAAACATAACATAATTTAATAATCTCAGTGACCAAATGTGACATTTACCCAATATTATTTATATCACCATTAGCAAATAAAAAAAATATGTTAATAAAAGACTTCAGCAACAACAGAATCCCATAGACTTCCAGACTCCAGTTCTTGTTGTGGTAAGTAACAACTTAAAATGAGAGGAAGCCATCACTTCCAAAGGGAAGTGCTGACATATTCAGTGATGGTGGGTATGCAATTCTCCACGGTTGGGATAAACACACTCTTCAAAGCCGCAACAATGGAGGGCATGAGCCCTTACGTCTCTGTCGCCTATAGCTATGGAATCGCCTCTCTTCTCCTTCTCCTTCCTACTCTCTTTTCCCACAGGTTTTCTTCTGCTAATTTCTTCACTTCTGGACATTCTGCAAGTTCCCCCCCACAAGTTTGAGTAACATAATCTTTTGGGTTTGTTTGGATGCATCATTTCGATTCGCAGTTCATCACCAAGAGGATTAATTCCCTAAATACAGATAAAATTAAACCAAATTCCTAAACTACCACACTTTTAAAAAAAATTCCCAAAATACCTAAGTTTGGAGTGGTTCGAGTTTGAGGAACTCGAACTACTAACCGGTTCGAGTTTAGGAGACTCGATCTAGTCGTAGATCGATGATATAAGCCTCGAACCATGTGGAGCTGAAGTGGTTCGAGTTCAGTGGACTCGAACCACTCCTTTGAAATTTCCAACAACCTTAACTTTGTGCTCGGTTATCCGATCGTAGCAAACTTTTTTTTCATTTCGCATAACTTTTTGAGGACTACAACTTTTATAATAGAAATATTTTCAAAATATATGTGAAAAGTGAAAAATAAAGTTAAATGTACTCCCAAACCACCTTATATTAAAAAATATTCCTATTTTGAAAATTTATTCCTAGTAAATGTTGTAGTACTCAAAAAATTATGCAAAACAAAAAAAAACTTTGCGACGTTCGGATTGCGGAGCACAAAGTTATGATCCTCTAAAGTTTGGCAAAATTGAAAATTTGCTCATTTAGGGGTAACAAATGACATTTTCTCGGGGCGAATGCACGGGAAATTTTTTATATATAGGGAATTTCTGCCAAAAGAGCAATATTTTTCCAAACGAGAAATTTTTTGGATGGCTATCTTCCTAGAAAACGTCATTTGCTACCCATAAACGAGCAAATTTTCGAATTTGTCAAACTTTGGAGGATCATAATTTTGTGCTCCGCAATCCGAACGTCGCAAAGTTTTTTTTTGTTTTGCATAATTTTTTGAGTACTACAACATTTACTAGGAATAAATTTTCAAAATAGGAATAGTTTTTAATATAAGGTGGTTTGGGAGTACATTTAACTTTATTTTTCACTTTTCACATATATTTTGAAAATATTTCTATTATAAAAGTTGTAGTCCTCGAAAAGTTATGCGAAATGAAAAAAAAGTTTGCTACGATCGGATAACCGAGCACAAAGTTAAGGTTGTTGGAAATTTCAAAGGAGTGGTTCGAGTCCACTGAACTCGAACCACTTCAGCTCCACATGGTTCGAGGCTTATATCATCGATCTACGACTAGATCGAGTCTCCTAAACTCGAACCGGTTAGTAGTTCGAGTTCCTCAAACTCGAACCACTCCAAACTTAGGTATTTTGGGAATTTTTTTTAAAAGTGTGGTAGTTTAGGAATTTGGTTTAATTTTATCTGTATTTAGGGAATTAATCCTCACCAAGAGCTGTTGACGTTCCTCCCCTGACCATACCAATCTTGTGCAGAATCGGCCTTCTGGCACTCGCAGGGTAACTTTCTTCTGGGAAAATTGAGATACTTCATCACACATTTCGATCATTCATCCCAGTAAACCCAAGTTATAACGTGCAGACATGTTTATCGTATGCAGAAGCTCGTCCCGGCTGACAGGCTTCACGGGCCTTTATTACAGTTCCCCAACCCTGTCGTCCGCCATTGGCAACCTCTGTCCAGCTTTTACATTCATACTTGCCGTCATGTTTGGGTAAAACTAAACTCTCCAAGCCCTCCATTCATCAAAAACGCATCTCTGGCTCCTTTGTAACTTGTTTCCTTTGGGGAAAAAAGGATGGAGGCAGTTGCGATGGGAAGAAGATCCAGCCAGGCCAAAATATTGGGCACAACTGTGTCAATAGCAGGCGCATTCGTCATAACATTTTACCAAGGTCCGCCGATCTGTATCACCCCGTCGGCATCATCATCTCCACTCGACCATTCTCTTGTTCATTCCACAGCAGCACAAAACTGGGTTCTTGGTGGCAGTTTGATCACTCTGCATTATGCACTGGGTACTTTGTGGACGATTCTCATGGTATGAATATAGAGTGTTCATAACTTCATATTCATGAACTCCCCCAGTTACAAATCAATTTACAATTTTTTTTTGTGGGGTTGGGGGATTTGTTCATTGTTGGCAGACACAGATAATGAGTGACTACCCTTCAGAGCTCACAGTAATCTTCATCTACAACACATTTGTAAGCATTATAAGTGCAGTTGTTGCTTTGTTTGCTGAAGGAACATCCTCGAGTGCTTGGATAATGAGCTCAAACACCGCACTAGCCTCAGTCATTTGCACAGTAAGTGCCGCGGGAAAAATACATCAAACCATGTGAACGGGAAACCTATGTACTCGAATGAAGGAATGATATCAATGGAGGATCATACATTCTATTCTTCGGTCGATTATGGTTTTGAGTAATTGTACTAAAAATAACAGGGGGTGTTTGGATCGTGCTTGAACAATGCCGCTGAAGCATGGGTGCTGCCGATAAAGGGACCCGTTTTTGCTAACATGTTCCTTCCGTTTGGAATGGTGATCGCTGTCGCCATGGGCGTAATGCTGCTAGGTGATACTCTGCATCTTGGAAGGTAACTTACCAACCTAGTATATACCTATTCAAACTAAGATCTTCCTTTGGTCAAATCTTATTAATGAATACAACTTTTCAATTTGGATGATTGTACTCTCCTACTTTGCCAGTCTCCTCGGAGGGACAGCCATATCCATCGGCTTCTACATGTTCATGTGGGGAAAGGTGAAAGACCAAAACGATGATGGCACCGCAAAAACAGAGCAGAATGCCGATGACCATAGTAGCAGCAGCAATGCAGATAAGGCTCCATTACTATAAGCTACCTAGGAACAGATCGAGGCAGTTTATGGCGGACTAAAGTTTGCCTGAGTTTCAACATTTCCCCCCATCTGCATTGATCCTATGAGCACGATGCTACGATGTAGAATCTTCCATGTAAATTCTAATTGATAACTTGTAAAATATTACAACCGCACAACAATCCCACAATCAACAATCCAACGATCCATTTGCTAGCCCATAAGCTCACCAAGCTGGCGCAAACTTGATCCTAAAGCTCAAAGTAGCTGACAGAAAGTTGGAAGCAGCTTCCCACAACAAAGAGTTTAAAAGTAAAAAAAAAAAAATCATTTAACATGATAACTCACTGTTAAAATCCAATTCTATTTTCCTCTGTAGAGATGTGAACAACATAAGATACTATCTCGATTAGTCATGTATCTCATCTGCATTCTAAGAAGATAGAGTAGCTTCAGAAACAAGTAACACCACCTAGGCCCCAAACTAGCTATCCCATTCCCAGCTTCCTAGGCAAAAGAAACGGGAGGGGATGAATGAATGGGTTCTTTTTGGTCCATTCTCCTGGTATACAGCTGATATGATATGCTCATTCCTGAAACTGCTGGCTGCCATTTCGTGTCCATTTAATCAAGTCATGAATGAATGGGTGCTTGGATAATGAGCTCATATGTAGCATTAGCTGCTGTCCTTTGCTGCGTATGTGCCACAGAAAGAGACAGAGTGGGACTCTATCCAATCTTTAAATTTTCTTAAAACCGATTCTTTCTGCATCAGGGAGTGTTCGGATCGTGCTTGGGCAATGCAGCAAGAAGCATGGATGCTGCCGATAAAGGGACCTGTGTACGTTGCAATGTTCACTCCATTTGCTATTGTGTTGTCCGTTGCCATGGATGTGATGCTGCTTGGTGAAACTCTTCATATAGGAAGGTAAAATGTTCTATATTGTGTTGACCTCTGTACGCTTGCTTGGTGAAACTTTTCTATGTCGTCGCTTGATTTTGTTCATTCCTACATTTGACAGTCAGTCTCATTGGAGCGGTGGCAATATCAATCGGCTTCTACATGTTGATGTGGGGAAAGGCCAAAGAAGAGGCTCAGAGTGATGTCGTTGCAAACGCAGAGATACATCCCAACGATGACAGCAACAGTAGCAGTAGTACAGAGAAGGTTCCTCTGTTATCGCAGAACCATGCAATGGGGCCGGTTTAGGGCGGATCATCATGCATTCGTTTAATTAGAGGCAAACATGTACATGGGTCGTTTGAGTGGACGGTTTAGATGTTAGTTAATATGGTACTAACTCCTATGAGGTTAGTAATATGTTGAAATGATTACCACAAATAACATCTGACATTTTAAACGTTTCTACCCTGTGAGTATGACTACCTAACAAAGCCAAAAAAGTCCTCTTCATATAGCTAACTACTTCATTAATAATTAAGCATCGAATGGCGTCCAATTGGTGCAGACGTATACGGATGAAAGAATTGATCCTTACAAATCAAGGAGAGTGATCAATGTGAATCATCATAAATATTAGAAAAAAGGCCTCAATAAAAACAGCGTACTATAACTTAGTAGTTGCAGCAGTACCATAAACTTGCAGTTCTTGTTGTAGCAAGTAAAAACTTAAAATGAGAGGAAGCCAGCACTTACTGAGGGAAGTGCTGACATGTTCAGTGATGGTGGGTACGCAATTCTCCACAGTTGGGATAAACACACTATTCAAAGCTGCAACAATGGAGGGCATGAGCCCTTACGTCTCTGTTGCCTATAGCTATGGCATCGCCTCTCTTCTCCTTCTCCTTCCTGCTATAATTTCCCACAGGTCTTCTGCTGCTAATTTCTTCGCTTCAGTAAACTATGTAATTTCTTCACTAGTTTGAGAGGTATAATCCGTTCGGTTTGTTTGGTTGTATCATTTTGATTTGCAGTTCATCATCAAGAGCTGTTGACGTTCCTCCCTTGACCATACCAATCTTGTGCAGAATCGGTCTTCTGGCACTCACAGGGTAACTTTCTTCTGGGTAAATTTAGATACTTCATGGCGCATTTCAATCATTCATCCCAGTAACTCAAGTTATAACGTGCAGAGATGTTTATCGCATGCAGAAGTTCGTCCCGGTTGACAGGCTTCACAGGCCTGTATTACAGTTCCCCAACCCTGTCGTCAGCCATTGGCAACCTCTGTCCAGCTTTGACATTCATACTTGCTGTCATGTTTGGGTAAAACTAAACTCTTCAAACCCTCCCATTCATCAAAACTTCAAAACCCATCTCTGGCTCCTTTGTAACTTGTTTCCTTCTGGGGAAAAAAGGATGGAGAAAGTTGTGATGGGAACAAGGTCCAGCCAGGCCAAAATCTTGGGTACAACTGTGTCGATAGCAGGCGCATTTGTCATAACACTTTACCAAGGTCCGCCAATTTGTATCACCCCGTCGGGATCATCATCTCGACTCGGTCATTCTCTTGTTCATTCCACAGCAGCACAAAACTGGGTTCTTGGTGGCAGTTTAATCACTCTTCAGTATGCGCTGGTTACTTTGTGGGCGTTTCTCATGGTATGAATATAGAATGTTTATATTGATGAACTCTGACAATCCCTATGATGCCCCAGTTACCAATCAATTTACAATTTTTTGTTGTTCATTGTTTGGCAGACACAGATAATGAGAGACTACCCTTCGGGGCTTACAGTAATCTTCATCTACAACACATTTGTAAGCATCATAGGTGCAGTTGTTGCTCTGATTGCCGAAGGAACATCGTCGGGTGCTTGGATAATGAGCTCAAACACGGCACTAGCTTCAGTCATTTGCACCGTAAGTGCCAGGAGAAAACGATACAAGATCCAATTTTCAATAAACTGATTTTTTACGCCAAACCATGTGAACGGGAAAACAGAGTATGTACTCGAATGGAGGATTATAGATTCTGACCTTCAGCCGATTACGGCTTGAACAATTGTACTAAAAATAACAGGGAGTGTTTGGATCGTGCTTGAGCAATGCCGCTGAAGCATGGGTGCTGCCGATAAAAGGACCCGTTTTTGCTAACATGTTCACTCCGTTTGGAATGGTGATCGCTGTCGCCATGGGCGTAATGCTGCTAGGTGATACTCTGCATCTTGGAAGGTAACTTACCAACCTAGTATATACCTATTCAAACTAAGATCTTCCTTTGGTCAAATCTTATTAATGAATACAACTTTTCAATTTGGATGATTGTACTCTCCTACTTTGCCAGTCTCCTCGGAGGGACAGCCATATCCATCGGCTTCTACATGTTCATGTGGGGAAAGGTGAAAGACCAAAACGATGACGGCGGCGTAAAAACAGAGCAGAATGCCGATGACCATAGCAGTAGCAGCAATACAGATAAGGTTCCTTTACTATAAGGTAGGAAACCGAGGCAGTTTATGGCGGACTTAAGTTTGCTTGAATTCCAACATTTCATTCCAGTTTGGAGCTAAAGCTCAAAGTAATGGACAGGAAGTTGGAAGCAGGTTTCCAGAACAAAGAGTTCATAAGAACAAAAATCATTCATCAAACATGGTAACTCACCGTCAAATCCAATTCTCTTTTCCTCTGTAGAGATGTGAACAACATAAGGGTACTATCTCAATCAGTCATGTATCTCATCCGCATTCTAAAATGACAGTGTGGCTACAGAAACAATTAACACCACCTAGGCCCCCGAGTAACTATCCCAGCTTCCTAGGCAAAAGAAAAGGGAGGGGATGAATGGTACATACCAACATAATTGTTTACCATGACTTTCTCTGGAGATGTACAACCAAAGTTCAAAACTTGCAGCTTTTCTCTTTCAAGGCTTCAGATCATCAGACATTGCCGAAGGTATGCAATGCATTGCAAGGATATCTAATGTTGCAGCCTTCGCCGTCTCTGTTTTTACAACCACTACCTGGCAAAAAAGTTCAACAAATCAATAAAAAGTTATCAGGGTTTTGTTAAAAGCAAGAGAAAGAAGAGCGAGAGCGAGAGCAAATGACCACCTGTTGGTATTCTAACTCAAACTTCAAATACTCATCCTTGCAGCTTTCCACCATGTTCGCCAAGCTCTTCAGGTTCTTCACGGGTTTCCCATTAAACGTAATAACCTATTACAACCAACAAAACAATAAGCTTACTAAAGTTGATTTCAAAGATTGCTCGAGATATACACAGAATTATGTTTAAACAAGGGTACCTGGGTGTTGACAATATCCTCGTATCCAATGTTGATGTCAGCAACAAGTACCTAGTACCAGTTTCACAAGCATACGTATCTAGTGAGACCTTCCTTCTCATAAAGAAAATGACTCATTTGCTTTCAGGAAGTTGGCAGAGACTATACCTGTGAGATAACAACAAGCTGCTCATCTGGAGATTCAGCCATAGCATGCATATGCCGGTCCAATAGCTTCACTGGAGCTTCATATTCATAGTCCTTTCCATACTAGAGAGAGAACAATGCAGAAATTGAAGTCAGGTATCAAAAAAGGTTGAAGCTTCCAAATTTGGAGAGGCATAAAGCATTTACCACACTAATCAAGAAATTAAGTCAGATGTTGATTACAACAGTGTTTCCATTAAGATGGCCAAGTCAATATGCTTAAAAGCAACTTTACCTCTGAGCGCAAATATGGAACTGATACAGCAGAGAAAACAAATCCAGCAACAATGTAATAGGAAGGAGGTTTTCCATTTATGTGTGCTGGAATGAGCCTCTTGTGTGGTTGAAGTTTGATCTTGAACTCAAGTACTTTAGAATCACGCAGAACTTTCACCAAAGTCTTGTCACCGGTGTATTTTTGAGAAACTAGGTAGCTGAATCCTATGCGTTCTCCATCTCTGAAAGGAACTGCCAATTACCAAAGGAATGGTAAGCAAGCAAGTAAAGAAGGAAAATAATCCTATACATTCCAATTTCCATGCAAGAAATGACAGTTGGCTCAACTGAAGTACTGTTACAACCCTGAGAAGCAAGCAAGTAAATATCGCAATACCCTATTTCAGAAATGATCCCGACATGTGTCCAAAAATCTAAAATTCTTACTTGTTCCGTCATTTGCTATCTTTACCCCATCGAAGCTAAGGAGAATATCAGATGACTTTAAGACTTCAGATTCTGGAGCAGTTGGCTCAATTCTTCTAATACGGACACCCTTCTGATCAGATGCCATCCCCATTGCTACCCTCAAATCAGGATTTTCCATCTTCTGCCACTCAATCCCAAGAACAGGGAAACCTGTCAACATAAATAGAGGTGAAAGTGAAGCAAACATCAGCTTTAAACCATCAGAAAATAGTCCAAGCTATATTGTCACTATGCTAGCATGTTTCACCCTATAAGTGTCATGTTGGTCGAGAATAACGTTCCAGGAAGAGGGCTAGGTACCTGTATAAACCCCATTTTTCTCATAATCACCAATAAAATGTTTGATAACTGGTGTTGGTATGACATAGCCAATATTTTCAGCATCATCATGTTTCAAAGACTGAAATGCAATGCCAACACACTTTCCCTTGTCGTTGAATGCAGGCCCACCAGAGTTTCCAGAGTTTATAGCTGCATCTATCTATGATTGCTTACATTCAAACAGTTAGTCACGCTATTTGTTGAAAGAAAATAATAAAAACAGAATGATGACAGCACAAAGGCAGAGATAAGAACCTGCAGCCCTAGAAGCTCGGTAGTCGCATGGACATAAGACAGCACCTCTATACGGGAGACAACACCACTTGTTACAGAGATTGTGTCACCCCCAATAGGGTAGCCTACAACAGTCACAGCATCTTGAAGTGCAGGCAAATCTCCAAACTCGACAGGTGTAACACCCTCCCAGAACTCATCATCATTGACAGTCAACAATGCTGCAAGGTCAAGAAGCGAGAGAGACATCATTATTATATAACTCAAGCCACTTCCTCGCATAAAGAAGCAACTCAAATTCCAAGCAATATAAAATGAGACGCATATCAACCCAAACAGAAATTCTGTAATGGCTAGCTCGGAGTCAAACAAAATTGTACAGCTCAGGCAGTAAAACTCATCGATGATAGCTTGATGTGTGTATGTTGCAACGCCAAAGCTGAGACATCACAGCTAGGAATAGAAATTAAAAAGCAAAGAACTTCAAACACATACCAATATCACATTCGGTTCCAATGGCCAAAACAGTAGCCAAGTACTTAGTATCAGAACCCCTCTTCTTGAGCTTCACCTGAGTGTGATGCTCCACGGAGTGCGCATTTGTCAGCACCCTCCTCCCACCAATGATAAATCCACTGCTGCTTGAACTATACTGCCGCTTCCGCTGCCAGGGAAGCGAGAAATTCGGGTCCGTATGAACGCAGAACACCTTCACGACAGCATCCATGGCCGGAACCACTCGAACCACAGTCTCCCACTCCGGGCCAGGGCCCACGGAGCTGTTCACGTGTCCATTCTGCTCGGCAGCCTGCTGCTGCCGAGTCAGCCGCCTCTCCGACTCAGGGGACATAGGTTCCGCCACCCTATCCTTGCGTTTCGAGGACTTCTTAGGCCTTCCCCTGCCGCGGCGTGGAGATGCATCGCCGTTGTTGGCGGCGGCGGGAGGAGACTCGGCAGCGTGAATAGCAGTGGAGGGTTGGGGAGCGGCATCGTCTGGAGACGTGTCACCGGCGTTGGTTGGTTCGGAATCGTCCCTTCGTGCTCGCTTCCTGGTCCTCGTCATCTCGCCGGCGACCTCCGAGTCGGTAGCTGGCTAGGGCTTTACTAATTTCCGAGCCTGTGTAAATTCAATCGACGGAAGGGAAGCGCGACAGAGAATGGAGGATGCGAAAGCGCCGAAGATGTAGGAACATTTGGGCTTCATAACTCTAGGCCTGTTAATGGGCCTTCACCTAAGAGGGCATTAAGCCTGCCGTCTCTTTTTAGTTTTCCTCCCTTGGGCCTGCGCTCAAGCATATTAAGCCCGCCGTCCATTTTTCATTATTGTAAAATCGAGCGCGGATGCCAGACTCGACGGCGCGTCTAGGATGGAACACATTTCGCCGGGCGGGACTCCGTCCGTCTCTCAGGACCCCGCCGTCAACCTGCAGCGTTCATTCTTACCAAGCTTCCTGGTGGGGGTATTGAAGGCACGATTATGGAAGATGTAAATGGGGATTTTCTATAAAATCCATCGCCACCAAGCTACGTTATGGCTTAGCATTTACACAGGTACGATCTCTACTCTGTCTCTACGGGAATGAGTGCCCTGTTTCGTTGCTTGAAGAAAGATGCAAACCGTTTCTTTCATTTTAGTTCTTAGTTATCTGACAATGTGAAAGTAGGAACCTGACATTGCCGCATTGGGGTCTTTAGAGATCCTTTCTGGGTCATGTTTTCCCAAACTGCATGGTAGGTGTTCGCGAAAATGCCTAAATGAAACTGGAGTTTCGAGAATTCGGACTTCAGTTGCTTTCGGGGAAAGGATTCTTTGTACGTGAACGGTAAGGATTTTTGTTTAATATAATAATACCCCGTGTGATTCATGGGTCATGGGTCTTGATCCTCCGGACCTAATTGCGAACTGTTTATCAACTACTGTATCTTCGCCTCCTTTGTCAATGGGGAATTGGGGATCCTTAGATGTTATGGGACAATCCAAGTACCACATCGGTAATACATAGGAAGGGACCCTGCCCGATTTCGACATTCTAGTTGGATGTAATTAGCTACATCAGCCGCGTCTTATAAATATTTTATCTTTTTGATGATTGTTTTGTGTCCAACGTGTAGAATAAGACAGATGAACCTGGTGAAATGATCGTAATTAATCACAGATTCGAATCCATGATTTGGTGAATGTTTCCATGTGGTACTAACAGCTCAGTCTCACTAATCACTGCTAGTCTTCCCACCATGCAATGCTCTCTGACATAGTATGGTTAACTGTCCTTCTAATTACCCTGGTGAATCCTCGGATTAGTATCAGCAGGTATTACTCACATGATTGAGACACCCTCTGTTTTTACTCATTTTTATGTTCTCAGTTTCACATCCTCCTCGCCATCCCATTCATCCAAAGGTAAACTGCAGCAATTTAGCTCACCACCTAAGCATTGCTGTGACAATATCTAATTGGGGTGCTTCCCTCGTGTTTCTCTACGTATTGACTTTTGCACTATTTATTTGCTTCTATGAAGTCTGGTTCACTTGACAAGAAAACTGACACTACGGTAGGTGCTTCTCTCTTTTTTTCTACAGATTGATTCTTGCACTGATCAATTTTATGACGGTCCGATTGACAAGAAAAGTTAATTTATTGGGGGTGCTTATCTCTTTGTTTCTACTATAAATTTATTCTTGCAACATCCATTTCATAGCATCTACTTGACTGTACTGTACCAAAGTTCCATTGAACATATG